CAGGGGAGAGGAAAGGAGCTAGGAGCAGAGAAGGAGCCATGAGGCCACCAGGGGGCATCATGATCCCCCTTGGGGCCCAATTCTATTACACTAAGACACAAACCTGGAACAGCAATGTTTTACAGCATGTCTTTGAGCTACACCACACCTTAATCTTAGGAACTCAGTGTGGAGTTAGGCTAATACATACAGGGTGCATCTACATGTGAAATTAACACTACTCAGTAAGCTCCAGAGCAGTTTGAACTGGAGGCAGCTGCACCCAGGCACAGTAATCTACACATGCACTCAGGACAGCAACAGGTTGAGCCAGGGCTGAGCAGCCCTGAACTGACAACAGGCTTGGAGAGTTAGTCCTGGGCTCTGGGTGGCAGCGTTGGGTGGCAGAGTGGGGTATAAGAGTGCTAAAGTGTAGAGCGATGCAGCAGGCATCCCCAGCACTTTAGCACCCTCATACCCCAGCCAGCCCCCGTCATCACCTACACATGCGTTTCATCGCATTTCATTATTCTGTTGTAAGACAGTACTGTCCCTGACAGTACTATCTTATGGTGAAGTTAATTAATTTACTGCATCCTAATACCGGTGCACCTGTATAGACAGTGACACTTTACTGCAGAGCAAATTAACCAGCTTCACAGTAAAGCACTCATGTAGATGCACCCCCTGTGAATAACATTACTCATCTTCCTTGAATGGCCATAACTGAATCATTAATTGCCAGATGTAACTTTTCAAGTCTCAGCTTAACACACACGCTTTCTATGTATGGCTATAGAGCCCTTGGAATTCTCATCTGATGAATTTTCATAGGGACCAATGCTCAGAGCATTAGCTAGCCTGAAAGAAACAACAACAGAATGTCAGGTGTAGGAGGCCTCAATATGACAAAGAAGGAGAGGATGTGATTCTAAGAAGAGGCAGATGGATAACTGACTGGTACGCTTTGAATCTGTGAAAGACTGAAAAGGTCACCAGGAATTTGAAATGAGATCATGAGGCATGCAAAGGAGACATGACAGATGCAAATTCAGAAAGTTATATTGTATCCAAACAACACCAACAAATACCAACATTTGTGAAGTTTTAGAGTCCATAAGATGTTGCTTCCAGCCTCAGTAAGATAATTAACCTAGTCCCCAGTTTATAAAACTTGCCTAATAGCAATTTCTTGATGCCAATGCAATGAATATATTAATAGTGCAATGCTAACTTTATATCAAACCTGTTTTTTTCCTGCCCAGCTCATCTTACATATGGGTCTGACTAAGCATATGTGGTTGGGACAGCCAGTCAGGCTCTTCTCCTGAAGAATGAAGAAGAAAAGAAGAGAGGAGAAGGTGGCCAACAAGAAGGCTGGCTGAAAAGACCCATCCAGAGCTACGTGGAAGATTGTCATCTCAGGTTCCAGGATATGCAGGGCTAGGGCTGCCCCTCCCCTGGAACTGCGCAACAGGTATGCTCCCCTCACCATGCATGAGAAGGCTCCAATGGAGACACCAGAGTAGGAGGTGGGTAATCAGCAAACTGCCACCCACAAGAGGAGATGCAGGGTGGTCGTGGTGGGAGACGTTATCCTGCAGGGCTTTGAGGAACCCATCTGCAATCTGGACCCCCTAGCTCATGAGGTCTGCTGCCTCCCTGGGGCCCACATCTGGGATGTTGCAGAGAGGATCCCTAGGCTCGTCCCACCTTCCAGCCACTACCCCATGCTCCTCATCCATGTGGGCACGAATGACACAGCCAGAAGTAATCCAAACCAGGTCATGATTGACTACAGGGCTCTGGGGGCTGGGCTTAAGGGGCTGGGGGCATGGGTAGTCTTCTCCTCTATGCTCCCAATTGCGGGCCACGGATCTAGGAGGGATGGATGCATCAAAGAAGTGAATGGACGACTCCGGCAATGGTGCCACTGAGAGGGCTTTGGTTTCTTCAGCCACAGCACACACTTCAGGGAGAGAGGACTCTTGGGAACGGATGGCATCCACCTCATGCTGAGAGGTAAATTCCTGTGCCAGGATAGCCAATCTTCTAGATAGGGCTTTAAACTAGGATGGGGAAACACTGACTGGAGCATGCCTGGGGACTGTCACACAAGAAAGTTCCAAAGTTGGAGACAATAGGAGATCCACTTCTGTAAGACCTGAAGGAATGGTTCTCCCTCAACATGACAGGAAATTGAAGATCTCAATTGGAGGACTCAAGTCTTTACACTAATGCCTGAGCATTAGTGTAAAGACTACACTAATGCCTGAGCATTCCCCGTGCCTGAGCATGGGGAACAAGCAGAAGGAACTAGCCCTCCTACTCTTTAGTGGGCATTATGATCTAGTAGGGATTACAGAGACCTGGTGGGACTCTTCACATGATTAGAACATAGCCATAGAGAGCTACACCCTGGACAGAAGGGACCGAGTACGAAAGAAAGGTGGAGATGTAGCTCTCTATGTGAGGGAGCAGTACACCTCCTTGGAGGCTGACATTGGCTCCAAACAAGAGTGGCTCAAAACTCTCTGGGTCAAACTACAGGGGGTGGGGGGAGGCATGGTGAGAGAGATTTAACTGTAGATGTATACTATAGACCACCAAACCAGGGTGAGGAGCTTGATCTGGAGTTCTCTCGAGAACTGGCAGAGGCCAAACACGCAGAACATGGTCACCATGGGTGACTTCAATTACCCAGACATCTCTTGGGAAGAACACTCAGCTAAGTCAGATCGGTCATGTTGTTTCCTGACCTGTATTGAAGAGCTCTACCTGACTCAGGAAGTGCACAGGCCAACCAGAGATAATGCTCTCCTAGACTTGGTCTTGACCAAAAGAGATGATCTGGCAAGTGACTTGAATACAGAGGCAACAGCGACCATGAAACTATCACGTTCACTTTGTTGCAAGGCAGGCAAATCAGCTAGCAGGGTTGAAGTTCTGGACTTCAAAAAAAGTGTATTTCAACAGGCTCAGAGCAATAGTAGGGGAAGTGCTGCAGGACCAGGGACCAAAGGTGAAAGGAGTGCATAAAGAGTGGTCATTCCTCAAGGACACATTCCTCAAAGCACAAAAGAAGTCCATTCCCATGTGGAGGAAAGGTAGCAGAAGGGCTGGTAGCCCTCTTGGCTTAATAGGGATACCATGGTCCTCTTGAAAAAGGAGAAAGAGGCATACAAACAATGGAAGCTTGAGACAGTCCCCAAGGAGGACTATACAACAATGCCCCGCACTTGTAGGGAGCAGATTAGAAATGCTAAGGCAGAGACTGAATTTAAACTAGCAACAGAAATCAAGGACAATAAGAAGTCCTTCTTTAAGTATGTAGGGAACAGGAGGAAAAAGAAATGGAAGCATGGGGCCATTGCTTAACAGCTCCGGACAGCTGGGTGTTGACACTCAGGAGAAAACTGAACTCCTGAATGACTGCTTTGCTTTGGTATTTCACTGGACTAAGAGGAAAATCATACTAGATAAGGATCAGACTGGGCATGGTGGGAATGACCATCTTCCTTCTGTTGATGTTGAGCTGGTGCATGATGAACAGTTAGAAAAGTTAGACATTTATAGGTCAGCAGGACTGAATTAACTTCATCTGAGAGTGCTGAAGGAGCTGGCCAAAGTCATTGCGAGGCCTCTGGCGAAACTCTTCCAAAACTCGTGGTGCTTGGGGGAGGTCCCTGAAGACTGGAAGAGGGCCAATGTTGCTCCTATATTCAAGAAGGGAAGGAGAAAGGACTCAGGCAACTATAGGCCAATTAGCCTAACTTCTATCCCAGGAAAAATTCTGGAAAAATTCATCAAGGAGTCTATGTGCATTATGCTTGCAGAAGGTAGGATACTGAACGACAGCCAGCATAGCTTCGTCATGGGCAGGTCTTGTCTTACCAATCTCATCTCCTTCTATGACCAGGTAACTCACCACCTGGAAAAAAGAGAGACGGTCAACATTGTATACCTAGACTTCCAAAAGGCCTTTGATCTGGTATCCTATGATATCCTCATAGGAAAACTGGAGAATTGTGGGGTTAACTGCTCGACAGTTAGGTGGGTAGGAAGCTGGCTGCAGGGTAGGACCCAGAGAGTTCTAATGAACAGATCTGTGTTATCCTGGTAAGAATTGGCCAGTGGTGTCCCTCAGGGGTCTAGGCTTGGTCCAGTGCTTTTCAACATCTTTATCAATGATTTGGATGTGGGGGTGAAAAGCTCACTGGCCAAGTTCACAGATGACACCAAGTTATGGGGGAGCGTGGTCACACTAGAAAATAGGCTGCAGATACAGGCAGACCTAGACAGGCTGGCAAGTTGGGCAGATTGGAACCAGATGAACTTCAACATTGAGAAGTGTAAAGGGCTTCACCTGGAGACAAACAATCCCCAACATACTTACAGGCTTGGTAGAAGATGGCTTCTAATACATCCAGTTTTGCAACCTCATCCTGATTTGAAATCAAATCTAGTTGCAAGAAGTACTAGCCCACTGCTTCTCTTTGACTGACTTAACAAAACCCCCCTTTTGTCTGGTGAGGTGCAGTTTTGAAAGATAAAAGGGACATTGTGATGTCTGATGCAACAGCCCTTGTAATTACCCAATGGTTGGCTTTATATTGGGTGCGGTATAATGGTATATCTAGGGTAGGTGACCAGGCAACTGCCCTAGGTGCTAACTTGGGATGGGAAAAAAAAATGGCTGCCACTGCAGCTCCCACAGTCATTCTGTCAGAGCGGCAGTACCTGGAATTTGCTGCTGCCCTTGTGCCCTGGGTATCTGGCCACATTGCTATGCTTCTGGTGTGGTGACAAACTGGTGAAGACATCTCATGTTATTCTCCAGAGGTAGCAGTCAAACAATGCTCTAGACTTCTGCTAAGGACTCTCCTTGTCTTTTAGGTTGGGGAGTTAAAGCAATTGGATCTGCTGCCAGCTACAGTTCTCCCTGTAGCCTATGGGTACAGAAACTGCCATCTGTTAAACATGCTAGCCCTATGGGCTGTTATGCTCAGAAGTACATTTGGAAGTACAAATTTGTGCCATAACTCAGGCCCCTGCACATGTGCTTTGTTACAAGACACATTGTCCTGCTGTGGGCAAAGTGTGCATACCCAGCTCCTCCCATCTCCCAGTGTGCTCCTCTAACAGGGCTCCATGTGCTGTGGGGGGGCTGGCTAGGGCACAGGATACCTCATCACAGGCCTAGCTGGCAGGGTGCCACAGTCCTCATGCTGAGGCACCCTGCACCCTACTCAGATGGGGAGTGGCATGTGAAGACAGGGGAGCCCCTAAGCTGAGACACGCTGCACCCCAGCCAGCCCCACTGGCTGGGATGCAGCGTGCCTCAGTGTGGAGCCTCTGCAGCGTGCAGAGATGGCAGAGCCCATCACCATGTGCCTCAGCCTGGGAGCTACCTGCTCCCAGGGCTATGTGGTCCCCCATCTCAAGGCTGCCTGCTCTCCCATCTCTGCATTTGCCCGGGCACACACTATTTTGATGTGCTTTTCTCCACTTCTTTCCCAGGGGTTGGGTTTTTTTGCTACTGGGAAATCCTGGCAGCAAATTTTGCCTCCATGCTGCAAATTAGCAGCACTGTGCATGGTTTAACATGCAACACATTCAGTTTGTGGCACCACAAGGAGATTTGTGATGCCACAAACTGCACAGGCCTGCTTGTATGGACATGGTCATTGATAACACCCCAAACACAAGTAAAAATTCACTAATCCCAGTAGGCTCAACAAGATGCCTTGATGCAATGGAGGCCAAGCAGACAGTATTGTCTTTTCAGATATTTCTCTGCTGTGAGCTCTTAGAATTCCCCTGTCATGTCAAAACCTCCCCAGATCCTTCTTGGTTCCCTTCCATCTCTAAAAAAATTCAGACAGGTCTGGCCCTCATTTGTGTCTTTTTAGCCTGGGGAATTATGTTGTCCTTTTTCTCACCTACTTCTTCAGGTACCACTAAAACTAGAACTGTCATCTTTTTTATATAACAAATAAACAACAACAACTCCCCCACCCCCCAAAAAACCCATTGTTTTCATTTCTGTTTGGCTCAGCATTCTGAACGTTGCAGAAAGCAACTTGTCCTTCTTAATTAAGGACAATGTAAGGTACTGATAAACTCTAGGCCCTTGCGAGTAAGCAGCTATTCAATCTGGCTTTGGATCCGGCTGCTTCAGATGCCAGGGATCCAATCCCAAGCTCTGGACCAGGTTCCCGCTTTGATCCGGCCGAAGCAGCTCTGAAGATTCAGAGCTGCCTCGGAGATCCGGCCATAGGATATAATGGGGAATCAATGACATCTATAACTTTGGTTTTTTTGTCTGATTTGGATGAAACTTCCAGGGGTTGTAGCCTCTGTGGAGAGCACAAAGCCTGAGAAGTTTCAAGAAGAATGGTGCTGGGGTTTGGGGGAAACTGTACCCCAAATTCTTGAAAGCAAAATTCATGTCACATCTATGTGTTACACCACAGTGGGGTGAAAACTGCAGGGTGGTAACCCCTGATGAGGCCACAAAGCCTGCCAAGTTTCAAGAAGATCAGTGCAGGAGTTTGGGGGGAACTGCACCTCAAGCTGTGGACAAGCAAAACTCCTGACATGGGTGACACTGTATGTGTTAAGGTGCAGCAGGATGAAAGCTGCAGGGATGCTAGCCCCTGCTGTGGCCACAACACCTGCCAGCTGTCAAGGAGATATTTGCAGGGGAAGTCTGGGTTCTGGGGCCCTGCACCTCTGGCCGCTGACAGGCAAAACTCGTGACATGGGTGCTTGTGCAACTGACTGTCTCTGTCTTGGGGCAGTTGATTGTCTGTATTGATTCTTTCCTCTCCTTAGTCTGTGGTTTTGTAGGTGTTAATTGTTGCTAATTAACTGGTTACCTTAGCTAACAACTTTGTATTGAGCTGGTCCCTGAGTTAATCATGATTGATTGCTTACTGGTAACACAGTAGCTTAGCAGCCAAGCCTGCACTAGTTCCCCCCCACCCCACCCTGCCCCAAGACACACCCTTGCACAAGCACCCATGTCATGAGATTTGCCTGTCAGCAGCTAGAGGTGCAGGGCCCCAGAACACCCCTGCACCTATCTCCTTGACAGCTGGCAGGCTTCATGGCCACAGTAGGGGCTACAATCCCTGCAGCTTTCACCCTGCTCTGCCTTAACACATACAGTGTCACCCATCTCACGAGGTTTGCTTGTCCACAGCTTGAGACACAGTTTCCCCCACACCCCTGCATTTATCTCCTTGAAACTTGGCAGGCTTCATGGACTCAGCAGGTGCAACCACCACTGCAGTTTTGACCCCCCTGTGTTGTAACACATAGAAGTGACACAAGTTTTCTTTCAAGAATCTGGGGTGCAGTCCCCCCGAACCTGTGCACCAAAATTCTTGAAACTTGGCAAGCTTCATGCTCGCAGCAGGCTACCACCCCTGCAAATTTCATTCAAATCAGACAAGAAACAACACAGTTATAGATATTTCATTCATTTCCCATCATACCCTATGGCCAGATCTCCGAAGTGACTCTGAAGCTTTTCTGAAGCACTTCAGAAGCTCCAAACTGCTTCAGAAAGCTTAACAAATCCAGTGCTTCGATCTGGACATGCTGCTTTGGACACTGAAGCGTCCGAAGCTTTTCCTGATCCGAAGCACAGTCCGAAGCGTCACACAGCCCTAATAAACACCTGTCAAATAAGAGACCTTTTTGTGATAACAAGGCCTGATTGTCCATTATATTCATGGGTCATATCCACATGTGCAGGCATGTGCAGTTTGTGACACTGCAAACCACACTCCCAGAAAGGTAAAATTTACCCTACGCTGTAAATTTGCAGTGTGAGGGCAAATTTTGCTACCAGGAAATCCCAGTGACAAAAAAAATTGGCAAGAATAAAAGCAGTGCAGCATGTGACAGGAGTGTGGACTGGGAGACACAGAGACTAGGTCCTTCAAGGAGATGTTCTGGTTGCCAGGAGCCGGGATGAGCAGGGAAAGGGCAGTTTGCCCAAAGTGGTGCAATTTGCCCCACTCCAAAGCACACATGCAGGCGTATGTGCTGCAGCAGAAAGTAGCAGCACAAATTTGCACGTGCAGATGCAGCCACAGAGTCTAAGACCTCTTGTAAAACAGAGGCCTGACAAAGGTCATCCAGTAATTCCAGGTTCAAATTGATATCTCCTGGATGAGCTACTGTATCTCTTTTAGAAAGTTGCCTAATGTCCCTCCATTTAAATGCATCATAGATTGCATCTGTTGGGGCAAGTTGTTCCAAAGGGTAATGGGTATAGATTCATGCAGTGTAACTGGAATTGTGCCTACTTTCACCAAGATAAATTTACCTCTCATTGGGGAGAGCAGCTACCCAAATGGCTAAGATTTCATCAGCTGCCACACCCCACTTAACGCTGTCACTTTATTAATAAAATACTCCAGCTAGCAAAACTGTGTATACGGCTGGAGTTGTTCCTTTATAAAATGAAGTTCCCTTCATCAGATTACCCTTGTTATAGTGAGGCTGAATGTATGAGAGCAGAAAAAGAAGCTATGGGAGATACACAAACTTCAAAAAGTTCAGAGCTAAATTTTAGTTCAGATGATACCTGAAAAGCTACACAAAATAAGTGAACCTCTGAAACCTACAAAACGAGGTTGACAGTCGCTCAACAAAGAGAAATATTTCCAAGACTTTAGTTTCACATGTCCCTAGCAATATTTTGACATTTATTTCTCATTAAGTAAAAAAAAAAGTGTACCCTATATTAATAATCCAAATATTGTTATATTGCTAATGGTAAACTGTAATATCTTATATCATTGCCTTAGAATATCATAGTATTTTGCACACACACATATACAAACATACAAATAATCTATCCATATGCACAGAGGTAGCTAATTCCCATCTCAGCTGTAGCCTAGAAATGAAACAAATTATAGAACATTTCAGAACCTTAAAAGGGTTGGTTGGTTTGAGTGTATAAATGGGTTAAGGTTCTGGGGATTTTGATTGTTTTCTAACGTGATGCAGCCCATTTCTAGAAATTTTATATATATATATATAAATAATTTGTCCTTAGTTCCCCCAGTATCTGATTGGCAAATACAAATAATTGTGTTTTGTTTTATTTGTTGAAGTACTCTGAATGGCCAAATTCAATTACATTTTGAAATCCTGCTGCTATGCAGAGACCAGAGTAAGCCCCAAATCATTTTTTTCAAAGTATGGGCAGCCTTGCATAGAATCCCAATGGAACTTCTATTGAATTCAGCCCTCACTCTAAAGAGAATACTAAACAGACATGGAAAGTTTCTGATGAAGTTCGGTGCATCACAAATGGGATTTTGGAAGGGGAAATGTAATTGCCTCAGCTGCTAAGGCAGCCTTCTCCTCTGCTGCCTCTTCTTCCATTGCTTGCCCTGTTTTTCCATCCAATGCTAAGAGCCCAAATGTACACCCTCCAAGAACCTGGCTGGAAAGTGAGAACCAGGGCAAAAGCGCAGCCCAGGTGTTAGCATCATTCTGCAAAGTCTTCACACGGGCATGATTTCCAGGTTTGACAGCACTGTAGTGACAGCAGTTTTTGCCCTGGATCAAAGTTTTCCTCCAGGATAAGTGGGCAACCGTGGACATTGATTCAGTTTTTTTCAGGTGCTTCTGATGAAAGTGGTAGTTATCCTTATGCTAAACAAAATTATCTGTCTTTACATTAATCAGTGATCTATTTTAAAAGTTAATAGTCACACCAGGATTTAAGACCTTTTGTATTGTTGAGCTAAGCTATACTTGCAATGTATTTTACATAGACCAAGGGAGTCTTAAAATTTAAACTCAAACAGGCATCCCCTACAAGAAAGTATAGGTAGTAGAGTGGACTATATGTTTAGCCGAGTTTGTGATGTGGTGGCGAAGCACAGCTAAGAGGTTGGCCAATCCCCGTTTAAGCAAGGCATGAAACTTCCAGCAGTCTAGGTGTAACCAGGCAGGCTATAAATTCATATGCCTTTGGGCAGTGACTTCAAAACAAGAGTTCTGATGAAAGCTAGATGCTATAACTCTGTTTACCAGTGAGGTAATATGCTTTCTTTGTCTAAGTGCCAATACAGTTTACTAATAAATTGACTGACCTTGGGATCTGGAGTTCTGAGCATTTTCAGTATTGAATTCCAGCATCTGTTCATACAGATTGGCTGTGGGTCGGTATGGAACTCCACGTGTGGCTAAAAACATAGAATGATTATTTTGAGGAAAGTATAATGGAGACAGTGCTTCCATTCATTATCATATACCTTTAAGCTTCCCTGAAAAATGATAGTGGTCATTTAAAATGGAGCCCATAAGGCATGCAGGCAAAATCAGCATGGAGGGTCCTACACAAATGCCTTAAGTTATGGGTTCCTACTGCTGAACCTTACAATTAAGGCAAGAGAACTTTTCAGCTGGGGTGAGCGTCAAATGTTTCAGAAGAGAGTTACTATAGAAACCATCTCAACTGTTCTTTCTCTGCAGCCTTGTTGGTGCTAATAAACGGCCTCATTATTTTGCAGAAAGTACTTTGGAAACCAGCAGCACCACAGTTTGGGCCAATACAAAATTAATGAGTGAAAATAGTGGGGATATTTTTTTATTGACCATGAAAAGGAGGAAGGCAGCATTTTCCATTAGGAAGAGATATGGCTCATTTGTTCAGTTTTGCTGTATTTATGTTTTATGTATTAGAAAAATGATTCTTGCCATCATTACACATTACTAATTCCCTTGTTATATTAAATGTATGGAACAGGAATGTCTCCTGCCTATCAAACAGAGTTAATAACTTATGGGAAAACTCATTAGAAAAAGATGGAAGGAAAGGGGGCATAAATGTTGGATTAAATGTTGGAGTCTCACAGTCATTTCTGGTATGGGTTTCCTGATGGTTTGTGGTAATACGCATGCAATGCCCAAGTGGGAATATGGGCTAGAGGCCTGCAGGGTTACTAGATCTGCCCTGCTTTGACTGACTCTTCACATGTCCATTCCTCAGCTATACCAGTACCCCAATCTCAGGGCAGTCAGCTCACATGTCCCTGGTGATGCTAACTACCAGGTTATATCAGAAGCTAAAGTTGATATACACAGGTGCTTAAGGCTAAGGAGTGGCAATGACAGATCAGAAATCCTGTCATCCTCTTCTGGCTGACACAAATGCACAGCTTGGAGCAGGCAGAGGGGAACCTGAAACTCTGGCACAGATTCATCTGTGGACACTAGGACCTGAATGGGAGTCAGGTTCCTCTAAAGAATAGTACCATATAATCTGAAACCCCATACGTCACTAAAGAGCATTGCACATATATTATTGAGAGGCTGCTAGGGCAAGATTAACCAGATTCTGTTCTCAATACATGTGCAAAGCTCATTAGTGACTATAAGAGAGTTTCACAGGCATAACCAAAGGCAGAATTATCCCCTAGAATTAACTTTTCTCCTTAGCTGCCAGCACATTGGCTGCTACATGTCTTTTACCTATCTGCTATTCCCACCAGCCATTTCATCAAACAGTTTGCCTACAAGGGATGGAAAAGGCAAGAAGGTAGTGGTGATCGCAGAGGTCTGAGTCTTGTCAACTGTAGTGTCCAGAGTTTGATGAAGTCCCAAGTGGGCATATAACCATCAGAAATCCCATCTAAAAGCATGAGAAATAGCAAAACTTCCATTATCCTTCAGTACCTTGTTTCCTTTTGGAGAAGCCAAGAAACGTATCAGCTATTTCAAGCTATGGTGGCCAGAAGAAGGGGTCAGGGTGATGCATCCATTTATCAGTTTCATAGTTTGCTCCAGGCAGCCAGTAGACCTTGCGTGTCAAGGGGTCCTGGCGACAGATGGGAACCTCTGTACCTCTCAGGATGGAGTCGCCTATGACGATCACTCGACGCTTCCTCCTCCGGGACTGCTTGGCTCCTTTGGCCTGTTTGGAGCATGGAGAGTGTGGAGTTGCCTCCTCTCCTTCCTTCTCCTCCAGTGTTGCCAGGGCCTCGTATCTGTTCTCCAGCCGGCCTGGAGGAACTGGTACTCTTATGTTGTGAGCAGCCCTGGGTTCTGGAGGTGACCATCGGCCAATCTGCAGTGGAGGGCACCTCCTGGGGTGCTTCTTCCTTGAGTGCATGGCCCTGCAGGGAAAGGAAATAACCATCAGTTTCATCCTCCACCTCCCTTATTCCCCTCATCCTGCTAACCTCCTCCTGGAGCTCCCTCACCTGCGCCTCCAGGATCCTAAGATGCATGCCTGCAGTACAAGTGTGGGGGCCCCCAATCCCTACCCCCACCCCGGCCTTGCTGGGCATCCACCGCAGGCCGAGGGGTCGGGGGACACCAGCTCCCCCATGGGCTCTGTCTGAGCGGAGGCCTCAGACAAGCACCATGGTAGGCTGTGCCCCCCAGGCAGGGGCCCTAGCAGAACTCAGTGTCAACACCATCGTATGGGTTGCTGTTTATTTATAGCTTAGTGCAGTGCCTTTGCCCTACCCTAGCAGGAGTCTCCCTCCTGGCCCTTTCTGCCCGCCCACCAGTGCAAACACTGGCGCAAATGCCGGCGCGGCTCAGGAGGCTCTCTACTGGCTCAGCTAAGAGGGATCCGGAGGGCTTCCCCTCTGGATCTGACTCAGCTGTGTCCAGTCCCTCTGCCCCACTTACCTTAAGGGAGATCAGCTGATGCTGCTCCCGCTGCTTGTTCTGCTGCTGCTGCGTCCGCCTCCGCCTCGGGTCAGGTAAGGGGGCACACGTGTGTGCGGGACGCACATGTGCCTAATCCCTCCTCTCCTCCCTGCTCCTGGCTCCTGAAGTTAAGGAACCTTCATTCCACTTCAAGCTGGCAAGGGTGGTAACAAATTTTGGTCATGTTTTCCAGGCTGGGACAATGAATAGTATTTAAAGGTTAATAAAAGGATGGTCATAAATTTTTAATTGTAAATTCTAACGGCAGGGATTGTATCTTATTAAATGATAAATTAGAAACATTTAATTTCAAGTATACTCATTCTGGCTCTACAGAGTAGCAAAGGATAAGACAGTTTAAAATAATAACAGGACTAATATAACCCGCTGGAGAGAGAATAAGACATATTGCTTTTTACAAATAAATGGGTTCTGTTGTTAATCACTTTTATGGCCCGTATTTCCTTCAAAGCTGGCGAGATATCTTATTCATACAGTGTAGCAGAAGCAAACAAACAGAACCTCTCTGGCATATCATCTGATTTCAGCGCACCAGCATTCTGCCAGTAACCTGCAGTGTGGGCCAGATCCTGTCCCTGCTGAAGTCAAATAGTAATATTCCCATTTACCTGACCATGGAGCAGGCTAAAGAACTGTGTGAAATACAGTGTTTGGGAATACACATTTTGAGTCTCAGGGTTAAAAGCTGAAAGAAAAGAGAGAATATTCAAGCTAGAAATTATGGACATTTATATGGGTTTGTATTCTGTATCTGTTACCAGAAAGTAATTGTGAAGAACTAATTATTAAATACTGTAAAGAGTAAGATGCACAGCATTCCTAATGGAAATGGCAACAATTTCATAATTCCTGAAGTGTTCATGGCCAGGAAATTTAACTTCCATACAGTTTAAAAATGGGGATATTGACATCATATATATTAATATTTTACTGTTAATTTTACTGTTACCCTTCCAAAGCCACAATTGCTCAAATATGGGTCTAATTTGCCAAAAATCCTACTCCTCTAGTTTCATAAAAAGTTGCATTCACAGTTTGAAAGTAGGCTGGTTTTGACTGAAAATAATGCATGGGCAGAGGGATAGAATGATTCTCCCTAAAAACAGTATGTCCTTATCCTGTCATAGAATACAAAACTACCTAAATTGTAAGTGTTCTTGAGTTCTGAACATTTTGCAAAGCCCTGTTTGCAGCTACTAGACAGAAACTTACTTCTGCTCAATTGAATACCGTGATTCATGGATCTGAGAGGCATATATTGCCCAAGAGAAGATAAGTTAAATATTCACCTTAAGGAAGGTTACATCTTGATATACACTGACTATTTATTTTGGTGAACGTATTGTACTCCTCTGTTTGTTTCATCTGAACTATCTGTAGATGTCTCCCTTATTGCCCTGAATTCAAAAAGTAACCATTTTCTATTTGCAACTAACTTTTTAAAAGGTAGATACACTTACTTAAAGTCCAGAGAAGAACATAATTCAACATCAAGGGTGGAAATAACACCTGGCGGCTGCTGTTCATGCTGCTTTTACATGAATCTCTATTCCAGCAATCACAGATAGGGACCTACCGAATTCATGGTGGAAGTAGGCTGCATGGCAGCTCCTTTAATCTTGCAGGTTCCCCCGCGCACACCCCCACCGATTGACAGTGGGGTCCCACTGCTCACTCCTGATTGTCAGGAAAGAGCAAACCACAGTTTTAAATATGGTGCCATTTTTGTCTCCTGGCCAGTCGGCAGAAAGCAACAGGGACCCTGGGGCCCCTCAGCCAATCAGCAATGGGAGAGGGGGCACGGGATACTGTTCAACATTAAAGAAGCTGCTGCACAGCCCACTTCTGTCATGAGTTCAGTAGGTCCTTAATCAAAGAACAACAAGGCTAGAACAAACATCCAGAGATTATCGATCTACTTGAACCCCGTTGGCCCCATGGGGTTGTGACCAGGGGGAAGTGGCTGGCCATGGAACAGTGAACGGGGCTGGCTTTTGAAGAGGGCTGCTGGTTCCAGTAGGGGGAAAGAGGGCATGGCTTGTAGGGGAAAGAGGTGTGGCCTGGCCCCAATCCAGATGTGGAGGAGGGGATATGGCCTGGCTGTGATCAGCAGCAAAGGGATTAGGGTTTGAGAATTTAAGAGTGGGGAGGGTGGCCACACCTTTCCAGCTGCTAAATTTCCTGCTCCGTGGGGAGGCCTGAGGGCCAGAACCAATGACTTTGTGGGCTGCATACAACACGTACCTAGCACGCTCATCTACCTCAAGTGAAGCAGAGGAACCATGACAGCCAACTTCCTGCTTCTACGAAATGATGTCAGTATATGCTTAAGTGATCCCATGAAGAGGTCCATGGTCTCTATGGAAGAAAGCAAACACCCTCATAGTCTGTACCAACCTGACCATGGGGTAAAATTTCTTCCTGACCCCAAATATGGTGATCAGTCTGACCTTGAGTGGAGGGGTAAGACCCTCTTGCCAGGAACCTTCAACTTTGCTCCAGCAGGAGCATTAGCACAACCCAGTCAAAATCCCCAGCCTTGGCTGTAGCCAGCACCCAATGCCTCTTGATGGAAGCTTAAAAACACCCTGACACATATAGCAGAAAGGAGGGTGGGGAAAACATGTGGGCTACCATCAAAGCCCAGAAGCATGGGAAATGCCCATAGTAGAACATAGGCATATCTGTACCTAGATCATCCCCAACCAGTGGCTGTCCAACCTCTGCTTGAACAACTCCAGTGATGGAGAGTCCACAACTTCTCCAGGCATCTATTTGACTTCCTCACTATTCTAACAATAAAGAAGTGTTTTTTTGGATAGCCAATCTAAACTTACTTTGCTGCAGCTTGAAGCCTTTGGTCCACATCCTCCTCCCTGCAGCAAGAGAGAAAAGGTGCTTTCCCTTTTCTTTATGGCAGCCTTCAAGTATTTGAAAACTTGTATCATGCCCCCTTTCAAGTGCCTTTTTTCAAGCTGAACAAGTCTAGCTCCTTGAGCCTGTCTTCATATGACTTGAAGCCCTTTATTATCTTTGTTGCCCACTTCTGGATCCTCTCTAACTTCTCCATGTCCTTTTTAAAATGTGGAGCCCAGAACTGTACACAATACTCGACACGTGGCCTAACTAGTGCTGAGTAGATAGGCACTATCACCTCCCATGTCTTCTATCTAATGCTTCTATTAATGAATCCCTAAGCCTCACTCCCGGTTTGTGCAACTGCATCACACTGCAGACTCACGTTGAGTCTGTGATCTATGAAGACTCTCAAATCCTTTTCCAGAGTACTGCCATCCAGCCACACTCATGTTTCACTCATTTTAGCATTTTTGATTATTCCTCCCTGAGCATACCACCTTGCATTAAACTTAATTTACATTAAACTTTGTCCTGTCAGCCCTAGCCCAACTTCCCTAACTGTCGATATCCTTCTGAATTATGCTCACATCCTTCAATGTGTTCGCAATCCTTCCCAGTTTCATGTCATCTGCAAACTTCCTCAGGAAGCTTTCTAAGCCAGCATCCAAATCACTGTTAAACACATTGAACAGCACACAGCCCAGTCCCTGTGGGACTGCACTCCTCCTGCCATTCTGACATGGACCAGTTAATAATTACTCTCTGCTTGCAGCTATTAAACCAGTTATCTATCCACCTTCTAGTAGTTTTATCTAGCCCACATTTCTCTAATTTGTTCGTGAGACAGTCATGAGGGACCTTGTCAGATGCCTTGCTAAAGTCCAGTATCCAGGTTGTAGCCATGTTGCTCTAGAGGCAAAAGGTATGATTAACTCATGGTAGAAGTGATATCTTTTATTAGACCAACTAGATTTTTAATTTAAAATAGATTTTATTAGACCAACTAGATTGCAATTAAAGACTTTTTTTTTGCAAAAATCTAGTTGGTCTAATAAAAGATATCACCTCTACCATGAGTTCTGGTTCCTTTCAATGAAGTTCAAATACTCTGTATCTACAGCATTCCCTTCATCCACCCAAATAGTTACTTTGTCAAAGAAGGAAATCAAATTTGTTTGACATGATTAGTTTTTCATAAATCCATGCTGTATGCTTGTGATCAGCCTTTCCTCAGCCCGATGCTTGTAAATGGCCTTCCTTGGGATATGCTCCAGTAACTTCCCAAGTATTGAGGTGAGGCTAACTGGTCTGTAGTTCCCCAGGTCCTCCTTTTTTGCCTTTTTTAAAGAGGAGCACTATGCTGGCCCATTTCCAGTCCTCTGTTACTTGGCCCATCTCCCACAACTTCATGAGGATCATTGTTAAGAGCTGCAAGATCTCTGCCAGTTCTTTCAGTAGCATGGAATGAAGTTCATCCAGTCCAGAATTCCTTTAGACCTACCAAAAACTCTTTGACTGTCTCTTTGGCTATGTCCTCCCTCAGTTTGCCCCCTTACTTATGCAGATAATCCTTATTAGGTGTCTAGTTGCAAGTTTGGTTTTTGTTTGTTTGGTTGGTTGGTTGGTTTGGTTTGGGTTTTTTCTGGTTTTTTGTGAAGACTGAGGTAGCCTCACCTATGCTGTAAGGAGAAAAAAAAGAAAGAAAGGAAAAGGGGTGGAGCACATACTACAAAAAGCTGCATGCTAAACACCCACACCAGGATCACTGGACACCCACACACATTCTGCTCCCTGACTCCCTCCTTCAGTGAACTCCCTAAGCAAACTCCCCCTGCTTGCTGCCCTCTGTTCACTATTCTCATAGCTGGCTGGGGGCTGCCTTCTAATAAGGCTGCCTAGCCTAGCTCCACCCCTCAATTCCCTAAACCAGCCCTACCAAAAGCATTCCCTGTCCCTCAGTCACTCCAGAGGAGGGAAGAAAAGAAAAGGGAAAAAAGAAAGAGAGAGAGAGAAAATAAAGGGGAAAAACAAAAAAAGCAAACACACACCATAGGGGAAAAAGTGGGGGGGTAATCCAAACACACACCACGCACTAGGCAAACACTCTAGCACCTACCAGCTACCCTAAGTCACAAGCACAAAGATAAACCTCTTCAAAGCTTATCTCAGAGCAACTACTCTCTGCTGACTGCTCAGTTTATTGTCGCTGGTCTGCCAGACATCATGAACAGTAACTTAGCAAGAACAAATCACATGGAGTTATTTGCATGTACAATCATATTGCTTGATATTCCTCCGGACTTGGAAGGATGCAAACTACAGAATCTCTCAATATCCTTGTAACCCATGAATAATTCCACTGGATTCACTGATTTAACTAGGGGTGTGTACATCCATTTGCTGCACCTAGTCTACATTTAGGTGGCTTGCTTTAGGCTGTATGAACGTAGACTGGGAATGTCATGTACAGTTCTTCGCTAGTGCTGGAGGCTGCACAGGAAACCTAATGTAAATAACTTGGGATGGGGAAAGTGGCGGGTTGGTGCAGGGTCTAGCTAACAGGTCCATGGGGGTGGGTCTGAAAGGAGTCTGGAGGAATATTAGAGGGTGGGAGAGGTCTGGCAGGTCTGTGGGGAGGTTGGTGGGTCAGACAAGAGTTGTTGTGCATCCAGGAATAGGGGGTTGGGGGGCTAAAAACAGCTCAATCAGGGTCAGGGTGGGGGGAGCAGCACAACTCTGGGGTTGGCGTAAGCAGTTGGGCTTTCCCAGCCCTAGGACTGTGCTCTGAATGTGTACAGGCATTCGAAAGATTGGGTTAATTCATTGCTAATCTAAGTTAGTTCACCTCCACAGGTGAACTAGTAAATTCACCCCCTCCAACATTGTTGGAGGTTTCATCTTAAGTTCATCCCCCACTGCTGCAGTGGGGCAAGTGACATTGAGTGGGAGGGAGGCAACCAGTGAGATGCAAGTGGCAGGGATGGCAGGCATCCTGATAGTTTCATAGTTGGTAGGGTCAGAAGGGACCTGAGCAGATCATCAAGTCCAACCCCCTGCCATGGCAGGAAAGAGTACTGGGGTCAAACGACCCCAGCAAGGTGATTGTCAAGCCTTGTCTTAAAGACCCCCAGGGTAGGAGCCAGCACCACTTCGCTTGGAATTTGGTTCCAGATCCTAGCCACCCTGACAGTGAAGTAGCACCTCCTGATGTCTGGTCTGAATCTACCCTCTGCCAGCTTGTGACCGTTATTTCTAGTCATTCCTGATAGTGCTCAGGGGAACAGGGACTCCCCCAGTGCCTGCTGGTCCCCTCTGACCCAGAGCACTTCAGTGTGCCCCTCCTCTGACCCTGTGCTACTTGATGAGGATGTGTATTGGCGGGGGAGATCCACCAACCTAGAAGAGAACACACGCTTACCTTTAGGGGAAAGGTGGAGCCTGTCCCACCCAAGCATGTCTCTCGTCGTGATGTGTGCGTCGTTGTCAAGGAAGCCAAAGCCCGCCTCAAGACACCATTCCTGAAGCCACCAGCTGGTCTCTGTGATGCACGTCTCATGCCGTCTTCCATGTCCTCTCACTGGTAGAGCAGAAGAGAATACCACCTGTGCACCTACCTCCTTCAACACGCCCCCCAGAGCATGGTAGTCTGCCATCAGGTGATCAGGGCTTCTCCTGGCCGCATCATTAGTACCCACATGGATTAGGACCATGGGGTAGTAATCAGTGGGCTGGATCACGGCCTGGATCATCCCCGTCACATCCTGAATCTTAGCTACAGGTAGGCAGCAGACCTTGTGTGTCGAGGGGTCCTGGCGACAGATGGGGCCCTCTGTACCTCTCAGGATGGAATCGCCTATGACGATCACTTGACACTTTCTCCTCCGGAACTGCTTGGCTCCTTTGGCCTGTTCAGAGAGTGGAGAGTGTGGAGTTGCCTCCTCTCCAGTTGCCTCCTTTCCTTCCTTCTCCTGCAGTGTTGCCAGGGCCTTGTACCTGTTCTCCAGCGGAACTGGAGGAACTGGTCCTGCTGTGTTACGAGCAGCCCTAGTTCTGGAGGTGACTGTCTGCCACTCTGCAGTGGAGGGCACTTCCCGAGGTGCTTCTTCCTTAGGTGTATGGCCCTGCAGGGAAAGGAAATAGCCGTCAATTTCTTCCTCCACCTCCCTAATTCACCTCAGCCTGCTAACCTCCTCCTGGAGCTCCCTCACCTGTGCCTCCAGGGCCCTGATCTTGGACCCTTGCCTCCATGCCAGTTGCCTCCCCCCTCTGAGAGCAGAAAGGGAATCAGCCCAGAGTCACAGAGGAGCACAGGACCCAGTGCTGCCTACAGGTACTTGATTCTGAAAGAAGGTTTCATTTTCCTAATGATGAATGGAGGAAAAAACCTCATCCTCGAAACGAGTAAATATGATACTCGATACCATACAAGTATGGTATCATACGAAATACAGGAATTTTTTGCCTAAAACCCTTCTGAACACCTACACAGATGGACATTTAGATCATAAACTTATAGAAAATCACAGAAAATTAGGGTTGGAAGGGACCTCAGGAGGTCATCTAATCCAACCCCCTGCTCAAAACAGGACCATCCCCTGATTATTCCAACTGGGGATTTGTCAAGCTGAGCCTTAAAAACCTACTTAAGTGATCTAAATGTAATGGCTGTACATACCCTGAGAGACTACTGGAAGCAGATTTTGGCCCATATCACCATATCACACAACAATGCTCAGTCACAGTTTT